TTGTAAGCCTCACACAAGAATTACACATACACTGTAGATCCAACTCATGTCTTAATTCTGTGTTTCACCTCCTTTTTCGTTGTAACATAAACAGTTCCTCTCAAGTACAAACATATATATTTAATTCTGATCCCCTTGATCCCTAAATTCTATAATAGTCATATGACAAGAGATAATCAAAAAGAAAATATCATAGAAATGACTAGAGATAAGTTGTTTTTTAAAAATGATCAGGTAAGATAAACATGTTGGTGCCTCCCAGTAGCTGGGAGGCAGTAGCTGAGTCAGGAGGGTCAGGAGGGTCAGTTGAGCAGAGTTAGAGACCAGTCTGAGAAGCACAGAAAGACTCCATCTCTACAACAACAAATTATTCTGAGATATCATCCAGCCAAATATTTTCTTTAAGGATACTGATTATTTTGTGGGGAGACCAGAAATAGAATTCTGGTCTCAAGTTTTAGTTAAATGTTCTTTTTATGAAGTCCTGAAGAGAGAAGAACTCATTAATTGAATTTTATTGAATGATGGAAAGTAGATTTGCTTGAGAAGAGCTGCTCCAAATTATTAGGGATTTACATTACTATTTTTTCATAAGTTTTTAAAATTAAAACTTTTTTCATAAATTTCCAAACTTAATTTATAATTTTGTTTGTTTGTTTGTTTGAGAAAAGTTCTCACATGTAGCCCAGAATGGCCTCGAAATCACAGCAATCCTCCTGCCTCCATCTCTTTAAATGCTAGAATTACAGGCATGCACCCCATGCTCGGTTTTAATCCATTTTAATATTAATATCAGATGTGTGTGACGCTGCCCTCACATACCCAAGTACTTCAAGTAATTTATAGGACAAATAACTCATTCTTGCAAAATCTTTTTAAGCACTTAAGCAATTCTTGTAAATGTCATAAATCAACTGTATTAGTGTCATAAATCAGCTTCTCATAGAGCAAGTCTAACTCTGTTAAAAATTATCTTACATCCTTCAGTTTAAAATGCCAAGTCTAAAATAGGTTACATATTTTAGATAAAACAAACTAACTCGGAAATTCTTTAATATACTAGATTCTTAAATATTAGGTATAGTATCTGTCAAAATAGTCTGTAGGTCGTGTTGCATAACAAACAACCTAAGCAGGTTTCAGTGTTTTAGCCCAGCATGGAGGTACACAGCTGTCACCCCAGCATTTGGAGGCCGAAGCATGAGGATTTATGGGAATTCAAGGCCAGCCTAGGCTACATAGTGAGTATAAGGCCAACCTGAACTACCTAGTGAGACTCTCTCCTCCCTGCTAATAAAGCATACAAACAAACAAATTTTTTCCTCTACTACTCTGCACTCTCACACAGCTATTCCACATTTCTGACACCAGATTTCAGGATGGGGTTGGTTCCACACAGTAAGCAATTCTCCTGCAGACTGTCCAGCAGACACTGGTTGGATGTCCCCTAGTTCAGTTCAGCTCAGACCCTATCTATGTGGAGGAATAGCAGAGTACAGAGATAGGGGACTCAGTCCCCCAAGACTTGCTCCCTGTGTTGGATGCATCTCCTCAGTGCAGTGTAGCACCTGCACTTCTGACCGATGAACTAGGTATCAGGTTCCCACAACCTCACTGGTTTCAATTACCTTGCTAGAGTGGCTCACAGAACTCAGAGAAACATGTTTGTCTGTTAATAGTGAAGCATGTAATAGGAAATACAGAGGATGTTATGGTTTGTGTTGGAAGTTCCCCCAAAGCCTTATGTGGTCATGGGGGGTTGGCTTTTGAGGAGTGGCTGAATCTAGAGTATTTGATTGATTCATGGTCCAGTGCTGGAATTATGGGTGTGAGTGCCACACTCATCCTAGGGCAGGTAGTCTGCATGCAATGTAAGGGACAGAAAGTCTGTCTGTCTGTCTGTCTCTCTTTCTCTCTTACTTGTTGCTTTTATTGCTTTCCACATCCATGAACTGTTGCCCCTCTGCCATGTGCTACTCTGCCTTGGAGCCAGTTATGAACTGGAACCTCTACAAACTTTGAGCTGAATAAACCTTTCTACCTTTAACTTTGGCTGTCAGGTATTTTGCTACAGCAACAACAACAAAAACAGGATTTGTTACTGAGAGTGAGGTCATTGCTGTGACTGTATCTGACCATGTGGTTCAGGAGAAAAAATAGAGCTGGAATGTCTTAACCTGTACTGTATGGGAGATTTTGATCAGAGCTCAGAAGGCCAGAAGGCTGATAGAAATCATGCCAGTAATGACCAAGCTCTGGAGGTTTCTGGCGGGAAGAAGGACTGCATGGATTGTTAGACTCCAGACAATGTGTGTTATGGTTTGGCAGAAAATTTGTCTACATTTTGCTTATGTCCAGATACTTTGCCTGAGGCTGATCGTAAGGGTGGCAGGCTAATCTCAGGAGAAATTTCAAGGCAGTCTAATGTTGAGGCAGTAGCATGGCCACTGTTGGGGTCTTTTAGCCAGATTTATGCTAAGAATCAAGAGCAAAGAGCAGTCCAGCAGAATGATTTAAAACATTGAGAGTTTTGCCATAAAAGAAGCTCCAGGAAAGCTATGAACTGCAAAAATAGAGCAGGAGAGATTTTGATTTCTAGGAGAGAGCAGGAGAATAGAAAAGGTGGTATGAGGGCATCACCCCTACAGCCAAGGAAAAAGGAAACCTGACTACTTTTCTAGTTGTTAGCAGACGTTGGCATCATTCATGTGGCACTGGTTTAAGTCATGTGCAGAATATAAGAGTTGTGGGACCAGGAAGGATTTCACACCAATTTCAGAAGATGGCCTCAAAGGCCAGTCTGTGTGCTTCTGAGAGGACAGTGTGTGAAGCTGAATTTGCAGTGGAGACTCCAAAAGTTTGGAGAAGACAGAAACATGGATCATCCCTGGAAAACTGCAAGGAGGGAGCAGAGTGGGCATCAGAGGGAAGCTGTAGGAGCTACAAGCCCCGAGAATGCCATAGGAAAACAGCCACCCAAGGCCTTTGGAGTTCACATCTTGCCACAGACTGCCTCAGATGCTGCACATAAAACTACAGGACTTAATGTTTGTCCTGTTGGATTTTATACTTGCTTTGGTCCCAATCCTTTGTATCTCCTGTTTGTAATTTTTGTAATAGAAATGTTTATCTTGTGCCAGTGGATGTTGGAAGGTTTAGCTTTCTTTTCATTTTTACAGGGGTCCACAGCGAACAGTTTCCCTTATATTTCAGAGGAGACTTTGGACTTGGACTTTCAGCAATGCTGAAACTATTAGGATTTTGGAAGTCTGAGAGATGGACTAAATGCCTTTTGCATAAAGGAAAGTATGTCAGTATTTTGGGGACCAAGGGTGAAATGTTATGGTTTGTGTCTGGATGTCCCCTCAAAGCCTCATGTGGTCTGGCTGAATATAGAGTTTGTGATTGATTCATAGTCTAATGCTTGGATTAAGGGTGTGAGTGCTGTACTAACTCTGTGGCAGGTAGCTTGCATGCAATATAAGGGACAGAGTGTCTCTCTCTCTCTCTCCCTCCCTTCCCCCTCCCTCCCCTCCCTCCCCTCCCCTCCCTCTCCCCTCCCTCCCTCCCTGCACTTTCTGCTTTTGCCATTTTCCACCATCATGAACTGTTGTCTCTCTGCCATGTGCCATTCTGCATTGAATCCATCCAATTACGGGCTGAAATCTTTACAAACTGTGAGTTAAATAAACCTTTCTCCTTTTAACTTTGGCATTTTGTTGCAACAACAATAAAAAATAATTAAAACAAGGGAACAGGCAGATGAAAATATACGTGATGTAAAGTCTGCAAAGATCCTAATAGCAGAAGCTTCTCATGGAGTTGAAATGTACCACCCTCCTGGAATCAGCTATTTAGGAAACCCCTAGAATCACTCTTTCGGGTTTTGATGTAGGCTTCCTTACATAATCATGATTGATTGAATCACTGACCATTGATAACCAGCTCAATTTTGCACCTCTCTCCTCCCCAGTTCCAGAGGACTGTACCAGCCCTCAATCTCCTGCCATGAGCCTCCATCCTGCCACTATCTGGGACCCTACAAGAGTCATTTCTCTGGAATAAAAAATGCTTCCATCCCTAAGGAAATCACAAATGTCTCAGTTTCTATAAAAGGATCTGAGGTCAAAGATCAAATATCAGAACAAAAAGATTCTGCAAGTGCCTAAGGATTTTAGAAGCTGCATGCCATGAAACCAGAATGAAGACTAAAGGTCCATTGCACAGTTTCACAGACATGTACACACTTATCTCCCAGAAAGCTGGTTGTTAAATATTCACCAATATAGTTGCCCTGATGCTATCTCAATATACTTTCACAGATTTGTAATCTGGAAAAGATCCAAGCCCTCAACCTTTGCAGTCTGAAACCAAAAGTTAATGAAACCTGTCAGGGTAGACTTGGGCAACATAAACTGCTTGTGTTCAGGAGGACAAAAAAGTCACTGTGATAGACATCCCCATGATGACAGAAAGAACCTGGGATATGGGCTTGCATTTGCATCATGCAAAGGAAAATGAAGGCCCTGACTCAACCTCCCTGAATACAGGCTTCAAGAAATGACAGCAGCAGCAGCTCTGAGGAGCTAGAGCGAGGGAGTCCAGGGTGACCTTGGCTTTGAGCACCCTGGCTTTCACCATCAGCTCTAATACAGAGTCCTGCACACAGTGAGGCCTGGACCAGGGGAACAGGGTTGAGCAGAAACTTGTAGGTTTTAGCTAAGTGAGGAGCAGCCCTGAGAAACAGGCATAGAAATCTTCAGGCTTGCCCAGAGTGATGGTGTGCACCTGTGGTTCTAGCACTCAGGAGGCTGAGGCAGGAGATTTCCCACAACCTGAACTGTACAGTGAGACTGTATCATAAAGAAAAGAAAAAAATGAAAACTTCAAGCTCACACCTTCATTCTGAGTTTCAGCATTGTGATTTTTGTTTTTTATTGTTTTATTAGTGCATGCTTGCAATAGATAATGAATATACTCATTGTGTGGAGCTGGTGCATATAAATATTGCCTCTTAATCTTTAAAAAGTGCTTCCCTTTTCCCTCCCCTCCTTCTTTTTTCTCTCCCGTAGGTTCACTTCCCATCTGTAAAAAATCTACCTCCCTATTCCCTATTGTCTGTCTCTTAGTTTGCTCTTTAAATTACTTATACTTTGGGTTTCTCATATAAGAGAAACCATGTGATATTTAAGTTGGGGTCCATTTTACTTCACATAGGATTATGGTTTCAAGGTGCATCCACTTTTTTTTGTACCAGGGATCAAACTCACAACCTCACTCTTGGCAGGCAGGCACTTATGCCACTGAGCTAAATCTCCAGTCCTGGATCCACTTTTCTAAAAGTAACTCAAATTTATCCTTCTTTATAGCTGTATAGAATTCCATTGTATATCTATTGATATAAGGATGATACAGGACCTGCAATAATAATAATCCAAATAATACAAGGGAGATATTATAACTCCCAACCTGCTAGATGTTTGGAATGCTGAGTTCATGTTCTCCAAAATCAAAGAATGAATTCTAAGGAACAATGGAGGTTAACAGCAGGAAATGTTTGTTAGAGGAAAGAAAGCTTCTGACTAAGAGAGACAGAAGTATGCTCCGGAAAGTGGTTTACCCATGAGCCTACTTCTCAGGCGAAGTTTTGTGGAGTTAAATCACAAGGCAGGTATAAGACAGGACAAAACTATGATCAACTAATAATATTGCAAGTATGGTCCCTTGGATAATATTGATCCAGTGGTCAGCAAATCACATAGCAAGTGTGCGTAGACTGAACAAGGACTTTTTTGGAGGTAGGATTAAGGAGGTTTTGGTCCCCACCCAAGGTGACTGATGCCAATTTAGAATATCAATCATTTCTCGGGAAATATGTAGGTATACTCATTCTGTCTTTTGACTTGAGGTCTGGCCTTCTATGAATGTGCCTCCACCCACAGTTGTAATGTATTCCCATCTTCTGCACTGGCTCCTGAGTGCCTGATATATTTCTATTTAACTTAGCTGTCTGTAATACTCCCAGCTCTGAAGATGTACTCCTGACCGCCATGGGAGGACAGGGGGCAATGACCGTTCTGGCAACTCCAGCTAAAGGGGGTCACAGTTGTGATCAGCAGTCAGAGAGACCCCACACGGCTGTATCTAAAGGCCCTCAGTGGGTACCACGCATTCTCGTCTCAGGAGGCACACAGCTTCAAGTCTGGAGGAGAAAACCCAAAGCAACAGTTAAGTACACACAGGCCAAATAGTAAGATCAACAAGATTATTATGAGTATAACCAACGAAAGTCTCCACAAAAGCTAGTAATCTCTCACAAAGAGGGAACAGAGAAAGTCTAGAGGATTTCAGAATCTGACTTGGCATTAACCTGTCATTTGATTTTTTTTGAGACAGGGTCTTGCTGTGTAGCTCAAGCTGGCCTGACTCTATATGTAGCCCAGGCTGAGGCAAGAGGATCACTGTGAGCTTTAGGCCAGACGCCTGGGCTACATAAGTTCAAGTCCAGCCAGCACTACATAGCAAGACTTTTCTCAAAAAAAGAAATGTCTGATGTCATCTGATTTTGGATGACAGCTTCCCTCGTTAATTTTAGTTTTTCATTTAGGGAAGAGACCAGTCATGGTGTTGTTTAAGGCCCACTGAGTATAGTCAGTGAAGGCCTTAATGTGTTGCATGACAATCTTAGGGAAAGGATAAAGATGGAAGCCAAAACGATCATACCACTGAAACACACTTCTAGATCATTGATGTCATAGATGGAATAAGTTTGTAGCTTGGCAATTACTTGTTTTGTACCAGGACTCAAACTCAAGACCTTATACTTGCCAGACAGGCACTTATGTCACTGAGCTATATCCCAAACTCCTTGTAGATACTTTTGACATTCTTGTCCTGTAATCATACAAGTCCCAGTGTGCATCTCCCTATCCATTTAGGGAATGCCCAGGGCCACAGAGCGGCCCCACTGGATGGGGGCTTGTCATCTAATTCTAGGGCAACTAAACCAGTCTGTTGCAAACCAATCTTTAACCTCTAAAGTTGTGGCGTCTATACACTGCTCAGGGGGTGTCTATCCCACATATTTAGTAGAGTTAGGCCAATGAAAATAAGAGTAATGGCTATGTTTTCAATGTAAGGGGACTTACAAGAATGAAAATTAGAACAGAGGAACTGGAGGGTGAGGGAGGGAAAGGGAGGGAAGAGGGAAAACAAAAGAAGAAAAATATGAGGGACCTTTCTGTTTAATTGTCTTATAGTTGGAGCTAACCACGAATAATCATCATCATATAAATATTGATTTTCTGTCCTTCAATGAGTTGTAAAGCCCTTGTCACAGATATGAGTTGTGCTAGCTGAGCACTAATTCCCAGAGTGAGTGAGACACTTTTAAGTGTCTGATGTAAAGTCAGTACTGTGTACCCTGCCTTTCTTGTCCCATTTTCATGAAAGAGCTGCCATCACAAAGGAGGGTCACGTCAGGGTCGGTGAGGAGTGTGTATAACAAGTCTGTTCTGGGTGCATATGAACAGAGAATTACCTGTTCACAGTCAGGTCTTTTAGCCTTAATTTTCTCCTTTTCTGGTAGAACAATGGCAGGGTTTAAGGAGAAACATGTTTTTCTAGAGCAGAAGCTGGTATTTAAGAAGGTGGTGGTAGGGGCTGGGGATTTAGCTCAGTGGCATAAGCACCTGCCTTGCAAGCAGGTGGTCGTGAGTTCGATCCCCAGTACCGATAAAAATGAAAAAGAAAAAAAAAAAGAAGATGGTGGTCTATGGTCAGGAATTTAGCTCAGCAGTGGCCTGCCTGGCAAGTGTGAGGTTGTGAGTTAGGTCCCCAGTACCAAACAAACAAACAAACAAACAAAAACAAGGAAGTTGGTGGTCTAATAGCCATAGGCTCCCTTTGGGAGATAAAGTCTTGCCACATTGTGAGGTGTATATTCAGTGACATCTTTGCCTAAAGTCAACTTGGATGCCTCTGGTACTATAGGAGAGCCACTGCAGCCAGTGCTGTGAGGCATGCAGGCCATCCCCACGTCTAGTTCATGACTCAGATACCCTACAGGCTGTTGAGTAGGTCCTGGATCCTGCATAAGCACTCCCAAAACCATTCCCTGCCTTTGATCAATACACAGATTGAAACAGTATCCAAAGAACATTCAGTGCTGGGACATTTAGAAGTGCTTGTTTCAACATCGGGAGGCAGTTTGAGAATCAAGTTCCCAGGTTAAAATATAGGTATCTGTCTTTTGGGCTTCCTTTATAAGCTGATAAAGTGCTCATGTAATCTTAACATATCCTGCTATCTCCAAAAGTGGCAAAAGCCTGTGATTCCCAGGAATCTCCTTAGCTGTTTTAGAATCTTGGGCTATGGGAAGGAAAGTATTGGTTTAATTCTCTTTTTCCCCAGCTTTTGGGTTACCGTAAATACGATAAGATCCAAATATTTTACCTCAAGCTGCAAAGCTGTGCCTTAGACCTAGAAACCTTGTAATCCTTGTCTACTAAGAAATTCAGCAGAGCAGGGGTGCCTTGGCTAGAGAGCTCTTCTGAGGGGGCATGTAACAGTGTATCACCTATATGCTGCAAGACCATGACTTGGGCACATTCAAACCATGCCAAGTCATGGGAAAGCACTTGCCAAAGGGAATGAGGACTGAGTCTGAATCATTGAGGAAGCATGGTTCACGTCACTACTTGGTTGTGAGGATTTCTAAAGGCACAAAGGAGGACTGGGGATTTAGTTCAGTGACTTAAGTGCCTGCTTGGCAAATGCAAGGTGGTGAGTTCGATCTTTGGTACCAATAAACAAATAAAGCATAAAGAAACAAGGGGGAGGTCAGCAAGAAGTGAGCCCTCCCTGTGAATTGGCACAATGTGTGAGCCACCAGGGGGACAGCAAGATGCCAGCTTCTTCCCATGAGTCAGTACCATTTGCAGACTGCAGGAAAAGAGAACAAGAAGCCACCAAGAAGCAAGTCTTTCCTGCAAGTCAGCACCATGCGTGGGCCACTGAGCAGAGACCTAGATGCCAGCCCCTTCCAGCATGTGGACTGGGAAACAAGAAGAGCCAACCCTGACCCCCACTGTAAGCACCCAGCTGATCTGGAGAAACACAGGCTGTGATGACAGCAATGGGCTAACATATAATTTAATACAAGCATATTTAGTGTTTCAATTACTTTGCAAGTCTAAAGCTGGTAGTCTGAGCATCTATTCAGAGGATAAAACAATACACAATGCACCATCTAGCGGGAAATCTCCTGAAGGTAGTAGCCAGTGTGAATGCTCTATGAGCTTGTTTTGAAGTCCTGTATCATTTTCATTGTTCTGTTGCATTGTGTTTTATTCTGGTAAGTCTTGTTTGATTTTATTGTGTCTGATGTCATGGGCAGCTATTTCAAAGGTAACAAGCTATATTATGGCAGCCATTATGGATTTACCATTATCTTGTTTTGAAGTCTTGTATTGTGTTCAGTGTTTTGTTTTCATTTGTTCTATTCTCTTCTGTTTTGTTTGATTTTTACTATGTCTGAAGGTATCTGCAGCTATTTTGAAGACCACAAGAGGCATTATGATAATAATTGTTGATTTTCTGTTGTTTTGAAGTCCTGTGTCACTTGCACTGGTTTGTTTTGATTTGGCTTTATTCCGTTTTATTTTGCTTGGCTTTATTCTCTCTAAAATAAAAATAAAAGTAAAATTAAAAAGGTGATACAGAATATAATATAAGACATAATATAAGAAACTGGGAATCTATTGTAAAGAATACAAAATAAGGCATCTTTTAAATCTAACACTGAGAACCAACTGGCATCTTCTGAGGTCTGAGAGAGAAGAGAGTGTGGGTTACGTACCACTGAGTAGTTTGACACTATTGTTTCATTTACCAATGTAGGGTCCTGTACCAACTTTTAATCCCCATTGGGATTTTTAGTTCCCAAGATTGGAGTGTGTACTGGCTACTGCAGACTTTAAGTAAACCTTGTGCCTTTAAATTATCAACCATAGGCAACCTCTTTTAACTGAGGTATAGCAGTTGGAAGGTCTTAGAGGGTATTAACTCTGGTGAGGAAAAATAATAGGATCTTAGAAATGTACCTGCACTAAGGAAGCTCTTAGTGCTCTAACTATTCTTCAGGATTTCTAACTGTATTTCAGGATTCTAACTATACTTCAGAATTTCTTTCTTTCTTTCTTTTTCTTTCTTCTTTTTCTTCTTCTTTTTTTTTTTTTTTTTTTTTTTGGTTTTGTTTTGTTTTGTGGTAACAGGGATCAAACTCATGACCTTACACTTGCTAGGCAAGCGCTTATGCCACTGAGTTAAATCCCTGGCCTTTCAGGATTTATTTCTGGCTCCAGGAATGGGGAGGTAGCTTATTCGCCCTGGGTGCATATACATTACAATATTTTCTTTCTTTCTTTCTTTCTTTTTTTTTTTTTATGAGACAGGGCTCATTGTGCTGTTCAGTGGCCTTGAGCTCACTTTGTAGTCAAGGCTGGTCTCAAACTCTCAACTATCCTCCTACCTCAACCTCCCGTATGCCACCACGCCTGGCTACATAGCAATATTTACTGGACTTTCAGGCATAATTAAAAATGAATGTGTAAAAAGAAAACCGTCCCAGTTACAGCCTAAAGGTTGTGAAAAATAATAAGTTATGGGGCTGGGGATTTAGCTCAGCGGCATAAGCGCCTGCCTTGCAAGCAGGCGGTCGTAAATTCAATCCCCGGTACCGATAAAAATGAAAAAGACAAAAAAAAAAATTAGTAAGTTACCTCCTCTCCAGTGAATCCTTTCACTGAGGCATAGCAGTTGGAAGGAAGGCCAGCCTTGAAAGAAGGACCAAGAGACAAGGACCAAGAGACATGGGTCAATGTCCAGCAGTGGGCTCATTTCTTTTCCCTCTATAGCCATGACTACTCCAGGTTCCTTCAGGGAAATGGCAGTCTGGCCAGAGGGAAAGGTAAGGAGTGCCCCAGGGCCCTGTAGTCTAGCTGGACTAGCTGTAAGATGTGTCTGAGCTCTGGGGCCTTCACCTCAGAGGACAGTCTGACTTCTAGTGGACACTATTGCAACCAGGGTGTAATTTATGGGACCTCTATGGCAGTGTCTCTTAGGGTGGCTTGCTTTTCCACAGCAATAGCAGGTGAGTTTAATTGTTGAGCTCTTCTTTGAGTCCTGAGACGTGGACTTAAGGTCCATTCACTTTAAGCCCACAACAGAGACAGATATTTTCTCTTGGTGTCTTTGTTTTCTTCCTTTGGTTCTTTCCTGGTCTCAATTAAAAAATACTAAAAAGGCCAGGCATGGTGTAGCACACCTGTAATCCCAGCACTTGGGAAGCTGACACAGAGGTATCACTGTGAGTTCAAGGGCTACAAACTGAGTTTAGGACCAGCCTGAAATGCAGTCGAACTCTGTCTCAAAAAGACCAAAAAAGAAATTGAGAAAGCAATTGTCACTAAAGTATCAGGTGAGCTATATGGAGCAAAAGCCATCTTTTGCAGCTTTTTCCTAATATCTGAGACTATCTTTGAGAATAATCTGTAAAAAGAAAAAAAGAATAATCTGTGCTAGGCCAGGAATATAGCTCAGGGGCACAACACCCTTCCTGGCAAGTGTAAGGTCCTGAGTTTGATTTTGTCCTTCTATCTGGTGAAGATTTAGGAATGTATATTTCATTAATGCCTCTCATAAATTCTCTAAGAAGACAGAGGCCTTCTGATCTTTCCCTGAAGAATAGCTGACAATTTAAAATAATTGAAGGTTTTAGTTCTCATCCTTCTTAGACCTTCAAGAATACATATGTGAAAATATCTCCTATTCAATCTCCCATCTTGTTGGTAGGTCAGTGGTGGGTCTTGCACAGGGACTGCTTGGACTCCACTAGGGACTGGCTCTTCCCCTGTCTTCTGACCTGAAGTTAACAATATGATATTCATCTCCAAATCTAATAGCAACTTGTAATGCTACTTGTCACTCATTAGAAGTAAATGTTTAATTAAAAAGTAACATTACATTTTTCCAGTCTAGTTCATAAGTCTAAGTCCTCTGAAGTCCTCAGTGTACTTATTATGGTTGTATGAAAACTTTCCTAGATCTTGTCTGATCTGTTTTAGATCACTGAGATAAAAGGACACATGAACACAGGTAGTACTATATTTGTCATTCATTTCCTGTGGCTTATATTTACATTTTGAATGCAAATAAGGATTATCTTTTAATGCAAAGAAAGTCTGAACATAAGACAATTCTGAACATTTTTCTTCTTTCTTACAGTGTAATTTTAGTTGTAATAATGTCATTTTCATTTCTTCCCTCAATATTTCATTTTTTCTCTGGGGATAGATAGGCCAAGCTTAGGTACAGAAAAAAATGTTAAATGGCTCTTTTTTCACATGTAAGGGTTGAACATTCTCCAGTGCTTAACAATATATTCCAAATGAGTAAGAGATTTTGACATCTGTTTCCCCATCTGAAAATACAAGAGAAAGAACTGGCATCCATTTAATTTCTACTATTTTCCATATCCTCAAGTTTTCCTCTGAGGTGACCCACTCAAGAGCTGGTGGCTGTCACCTAGAGAGAAACTAGAAGATAAGTCAGGTCAGACTAGCTACCCTTCTGGCTTGCAACCCTATCTTTCCCAGAAAACTCAAAAATTTTAACTCCAGCAGATGTTTCTAAAAGCACAGGTATGCCAGGTATGGTGGTGTACATCTGTTATCCCAGGATTTGGGAGGCTGAGGCAGGAGGATTACTGCAAGTTCAAGAACAGCCTAGGCTACATAGTGAGTTTAAGGCCAGTCTGAGCTATATAGCAAGACTGTGTCTCAAAAGACAAACTAATTAATTAACTAAATAAGTAGAAATACTTTTAGAGTGAGGGTGGTGCATGCCTATAACCCCAGCACTTGGGAGGCTGAGGTGGGAGGATCACCATGAGTTCAAGTGCAGTGTGCACTACATATGAGACCCTGTCTCATAAAAACCAAAAAATCAAATTAATTAATTAAAAAACACAAGTTACAATTGATTTCAACTGTAACACTCATGTTTTTTTTAAAAGGAAGCATACTTAGCAAGACAAGTAATCAAGAGCTCTGAACCACTGCTTTCCAATTCTTTGAAAGGGAGTAAGGAAAATGTCAAAGGGCAAATTGGAGGACTCCCTCCCCCGCAAAAAAGACCACCTCTAGAGTTAGATAAAGTCAAGGAAATGGCTTAGAGAAATTCTGTCCTGGGCCCTAGAGCAAAGAAGCCTCTAAGACATTTGCATTATTTACCTAATCATCGGAACAGGCTTACTTAGCAGTAGAAGGCTACATTTTATTCAAAGTGTAACCTAAAACTTTTAAGTTTCTGAAGCATACAGGTTAAATATATAGTCATCACCTAGCAACTAAAATTCGCCTGCTAGTAAAGGAGCATTTGTCCGTTTTCTACATGCACATGAAATAAGAGAAAGGCTGACTGAAAACATTTTTTAATTCTTAGTCGGCATATGTAAGGCACAAGTTTAGATCACTTCTCTGATACCTGTTTTTCCTCCGTGAGGGAAAATGAGTGTTGCAAGCTGCCTAGGCTTGACCTCCTGGAGGGAAGGTTGGTCTAACTACAAGGTGGTTCTGAAGTTAACTCACAGCAAGTTGGAGAAAAACTTAGAGAGAGTTTCTTTTTTTTTTTTCTTTTTTTTTTTTGTCTTTTTCCTTTTTATCGGTACCAGGGATCGAACTCACGACTGCCTGCTTGCAAGGCAGGTGCTTATGCCGCTGAGCTAAATCCCCAGCCCCAAGAGAGAGTTTCTAATCTACTAGCAGAGAGAAAAGTATTATAGGTAAGTGGAGATTTTTCTGCTGGCCACCCAGTTGGGCTATTGGGACCCCAGTTCCCCTGAGGAACCTTTGGGTATGCACCAGAGTGGCATCGTGACCATGCCCTTCGGTTATCCTCTCAACTTTTACTGGTTTCATGCAACCAAAGATTTGTCTCTAGAAACAAATCCAGTTGCCTGTCCGGTCAATAGTCCAGTGGCCCCATTGGCTTCGGTGCAGATTTACCGGAAGGTGCTAGAAAATCTGTTTTCTGCTTTAAGAGTAGCAGCTGCTTTAAGAACATTTAACTAGCTGGTAGAGTGACCATTGTTTGTTAAAGTTCTATAAGGGACAGATAAAAGTCTGAGCTGAGGGCCAGGGATTTAGCTCAGCAACATAAGCACCTCCCTGGCAAGTGTGAGGTCTCGAGTTCAAAAAAATGTATGAGCTAAATATAATTAGATTTCATTAAAAACTTCCATTTTATAGCAATTCATTTCAAAGTTCATTAGGGTCTTGTAACATTACTCTTCCCTAGCATTGCTGTTTAATATATAACAAGCCACATAAGGAACTTAGTAAATTCAAATTCAGTATGTCCAAATGCAACATATATGAAGCAGAAATACAAGTAAAATACTTGCCCATAAAAGTAAATTATAATTTTTACCATGGTCTCAACTTAAATTAATCATAATTTTTTAACAAAGGACAATACACATGGTGGTGCACATCTGTAATCCCAGCACCCAGGAGGCTGAAACAGGAGGATCATTGCAAATTTGAAACCAGCCTGAGCTACAAAGTGAGCTCAAGTCCAGCCTGAACTGCATAGTGAGACCTTGTTTCAAAAAGACAAAAAAAAAAAAAAAAGGACAACGCACAAAAGAGACAAGGCATAAGCAATTGACAAATACAAGGCATAAAAATTCAATGCAAATGTAGTTGACACAGAAAAGGCATAAAATTCAAGGCACACACATTTGACAAAAGACAAAGAAATTCAAGTCTTAAGCAACTGACAAACAAGTTTGACAATTTTTATTACCTAAGTGAGTCACAATCCAGAATCAATGAAACAAAATAAACATGTATGTCCATTCATTTATCTCGGTGAAGTCTCTAAAATGATACAGGATGATATAGGACCTCCAAATAATTCAAATAAGATAAAGGAATTATCTCAAAAAGCTGGGGTTGGAAGTCCCATTTGACCCAGCTATTCCACTTCTAAGTATATTCCCAGAAGAACTGCAAACATCATACACAGTATTTTGTTTATAGCAGCACAGATCTTGGAAATAACCTAAGTGTACATCAACTGAGAAAAATTGTATTTTTATACAAGGAGTACTACTCAGCTATAAATAGTGACCTCATTGAGATATTTATTAATAAATGGATGCAACTTGAGACCATACTCATAAGTGAAATAAATCAAACTCACATGTATAAATCCCATATAGTCTCCCTAGTGTAAGAAATGGTAAGAGTACGTAAGATTTTATGGTAATCATGATTCCCCTTTACATTGCTTTGAAGCCTTATAATGTTTTCATTCATTAGTTGGAATGGTTTTATTCTGTCTTGTTTGATTTTATTATCTGTGATGGTATGAACAGCTATTTTGAAGAAAACGAGACATTATGGCAACCATTGTGATTTAATATTATCTTGCTTTGAAGTCCTACCATGCTTTTGATCTTCTGTTTCCATTGGTTCTATCATATTGTATCTTATTGGATTTTAATATGTGTGATAGTATAAACAATTTTTTATGGAAAATGAGATAATATATTAGCCATTGTTCATTTTCTGTTATTTGGTTCTGAATGCCCTGTAATACTTTCATTCTCTTGAATGGTTTAATACTATTTTGTTATATTTGATATTATTGTATATGATGGTATGCTCAACTATTTCAAAGAAAGAGACATTATGGTAGCTACTGTTAATATCGGGTTGTCTTGTGGTGAAGTACTGTGTTGCTTACATAGTTCTGTTCTGATCTGCTTTGTTCTGTCCTCTTTTGTCTTAATGTCTTTAAAATAAGATAAAGGAATTACTATATCTACCAACCTGTGAGATATTCAATACACCAAGTTTGTGTTCCCTAAAATTAAAGAATGAATTCTAAGGAACAACTGTGGGGAGTGGCTGAAGCTGGAGATTGATTACACATTTGGAATGCCTGAGGTGAGCTATGTGAACAATCTGTGTTTCAGCCCCAAGAACACAGAGAGCCCAAGGCAATCCAAGCAAACAGGTTGTTAGGCAGAGGGGTTGATGTCAGGTGACATCAACCTCCCGAGTGTATAAATAACCATGCTGCGGTCATTGAGCAGTCCTTTTTCTCCCATCTGGAATATTCCACCTTACCTCAGCTTTCCAACTCTTGTCTTTATTTCTTCATCCTCCAAAATTCTTCACCCTAAGAATTTCAGGAGCTGTGCTGGACATGGTGGACTGGCACCTGAATAGGGACTCTGGGTATTAAGAAATAGTAGATTTCAAAATAGTAGGTGAGGGGACACCTCTGAGAGTGCCCATGAAAACAAAAACAGGTTCAAGAGACACCTAGGAGAGAGAGGTGTACTGGTATTGATTTCATCAGATGTAAAATATGGGGCAAACAGGGCAACAGTTGTAAATAGAAATTGTTGTATGATTGATTCCCACATTTACTTTTGTGTTTATAGACTACTAAGGGAGTGTCTTGTTGACTGTTGAGATGACCACTGTGGTTTTGGCTTGGAGTGCTATTTTAAAACTAAGTTCCAAGCAGAAAAAAGATGGCAAAGCAACAGCTCCCTTGATAAAGCTTAAACTCTCCAGCTTTGCTCAATCAGATAAGGAATGAAATGAAGGGGACAAAAAAGAAATAGCTAAAGCATGTTTAAGTCCAGGGGATTATTTACTGTGGAAGTGAAAATGTTTGGATTTATGTGCAGATCAGCACAGTGCAGCACAATGTCGTAGCAAGGAGGGACGCAGGCTGAGCAGAGAGAGGATCCTGCACCTCTGGCTGCACTCTGGCATACCCCTGGACCCTTGCACCCTGAACTGAGCTTGGGTCCATGAGAGCTGCAGCAGTTTAAATTGGAGGAGGGAAAAGCCAGGTCAGTGCAGATAGCAAGGCCAAGGGGCAACAGATTGCCAAACCACTGAGCCAAGAGAGCTTGCTCAAAACTCCAAGGCAGCAGAGTGGAAACCGCAGCCAGAGATGGGAGCAACAAACATGAGCCCTAGGTGCCCAAATACAGGATACAGATTTTTTTCTTCTGCACAAAAGATTGAATTGCAGGTTGTTATATGGGCTTTGCAAGGTCATTCATCCACTCCCATTAACCTCTTTTCAGACAGTGCTTATGTTTGTGGCATGGTGACCACACTGAAACTGTGACTATACACACTAGTCAGATCTTTCTCATTTATTTCAAACTCTACAACTTGTCACTTGGTCACACCATGTTCCCTGTTTTACCAGTCATTTACATTCTCATTCCCGATTGCTGGGTCCTCTTACCAATGGAAATGCTATAATCAACAGATTGCTCACCATTGTCACTGATACTCCCTCAGATGCCTTGCAATAGGTTTCTGCCTCCTGTGTGCCACCTTCCATCAAAATGCTTCTGCCTTGCACAAACAATTCATTTTAATCTAGGAACAGAATTGATTTTAACCTGGGAACAGGCTCCACAAATTGTTAAGCAATATTCCTTGTGTGTAACATATCTTTCTTCACTCCTCATGGGCATTAATCCCCTATGATTGGGGTTATACCCCAATCATCTCTGGCAAGTGGATTTCACTCAAATTCTTGAATTTGGCTCTTTGCACTGGGCCCACATTTCAGTGGATACTTCCTCAGGATTTATTTTCATTTCTGCCCGCACCGATAAAATAACTAATGATGTCATTGCTCATTACTTCCATGCCTTTAGTACCCTGGCTACCCATGGGTGCTGCCTTCCAAACGTTTTGTAAAACTTTTCATACTTCCCTTACCATGAGAATTCTTTATAATCCTCAAGATCAAGAAACTGTTGAATGGGCTCACCATATCCTCAAAATTCAGTTACAAACTTAAAAGGGGAATCCTTCCTTACAAAAATTCACAACTCATAATAGACTTCACTTGACAGTATATATTACTAGCTTTTAAAATCCTAGTAGGGATGTAACTACAGCAGAAAGACAATTTAATCAGGTAAAGGAAAAGAAGCTAAGAAGGGTCCTTTGGAAATATTTTCATACTGGACAATGGACGATGGAACACAGTACACATATGGGGTTGAAGCTATGCCTGTATCTCTCCAGAGAACACTGAACAGCCTATCTAGCTGTATCAAGGACCTGGACCCAGAGAAGGAGTTGATTGCACCTGTCAAGAATCCTATGACAGTGACACCACAGAATCACACCACAATTGATAGACAAGGATGGGGCTAGATGTGACCTGGGGCCAATTAAAGAAATTGACCCAGGATGACCAGAAGATGGTAACAAAAAATGGGAATCAAAGGTCTGAGTAGACAATAGAGTACATAAACAGAGCTGAAATTTACATGAAACTGAGCTGAAAATTACATGAAAGAAAGGGACATGAAAGATACTAGAGTTCTTGGAGTTGGCAACATTGGCTGGCTGTGGGGGAGGAGATCAAGAAGCCAACAAGAAGTCAAGTCCTTCCTGTGAGTCAGTGGCAAGTGCTGACTGCTGGGAGGAGAGCCAGATGCCAGCCCCTTCTGACACAGAGAAGAGCCAAAATCCCTCCCCTCTCCCCATGACTGGCTGATCCAGAGAAACACAGACTGCAGTGGTAACTATTGAATAAAATGCAACTAAATGCTTGTAGTGTTTAGTGTTTGATTGACTTTGTAGGCCTAAATCTAGTGTCTAATCATATATTCAGAAGATAACAGTATGCAATGTAGCACCTAGAGAGGATCTCCTTCTGAAGGTGAAAGCCAGTGTTAATTCCCTACTACTTGTTTTGAAATCATATATCATGCTTATTGATACGCTCAGCAGTCGTTTTGCAGTTGTTCCTTTTCTCCCATCTGGAAAGAGGACTCCATCTGACCTCAGCTTTCTGACTCTTATCTTTATTTCTTCATCCTCCAGCATCCTTTCATATCCAAAATGTGTTTATTGGGATGGCTTTCCACTCATCTGTTAGTGCTGCTTCCTTCTGAAGGAATATCCTTCTGTGAGCCTTGCTTTTCCTTCTGTAGACTGGTAGTGGACAGTGGAGCAACCAACACACAGAACTACCATTTGCACATGGCTAAAGGTCATGGTGACTTTATAGCAACCTGGGCATTGCACATCCTTGAAGTAGAAAATGGGGCTCTGCATCAGGCAATTCTTGTGCTTCCTCTTCTCCTCCTCCAGAGTGGAATGAAGGAGATCTTTTATGAGAGGCATGTTCTCTTAGGGTGGTTATCACCACAGGAAAGGGCACTCCAAGAATTTTGAGAACTGCACTGGACACAGCACATAATGGAGGTGAAGAGCAGGAAATATTTATTGGGGAAAAGAAAGTTTCTGCCTATGAGAGACAGAGGGGAGGCCTAGAAAGTGGTTACCCACAAGCCCACTTCTCAGGAGAAGCTTTGTGGAGTAACACCACGAGGCAGGTATAAGGTAGGACAAAACAATGATAATAGTAATCCAATGGGGAAGCAAGTCATGTTGCAAGTGCACATGGGCTGAACAAGGACTTTTTTTTTTTTTTTTTTTTTTTTTTTTTGGTACCAGGGATCGAACTCATGACCATGTGCTTGCAAGGCAGGCGCCTATACCACTGAACTAAATCCCCAGCCCCTGAACAAGGACTTTTAGTGGAGAAGATAGGTCAAGGAGGTTTTGAATTACCAATTTAGAATGTCTACCATTGCTGTTCATCCCTCAGGGAAGTACACATGTAATCATTCTATCCCCTTGTCTTTTTTTCTTTTTATTTTATTAGTACATTGTATATATATATATATATATATATATATATATATATATATATAATGATAACACTCATCATAGAAAATTTGTACATGTACATAGTATATCTTGCTTCTTTTTTCCCATTCCTCTCACTTCCCTTTAACCCCTCTTCCTTTCTTTATTTACAAAAGCTTTGTTTCCATTTTTCCCTTCTATTCTATTTTTTCTTGTCCCTTCTTTCCTTTCCCCCCCTCCCTCCTTCCTTGCTCTCCCCATTTGGAGAAATTTTTATTTTTGGTACCAGGGACATGACCTCGCACTTGCCAGATCAGTTCGTATCCCCTTTTCATTTGAACATTTTCTTGCCGTTTCCCAATATTTATTATACATTTTGGTCTTTGTTTACATTTTAAGTTTCTCATAGCAGTGAAACCATGAAATTTTTGAACGTGTGAGTCTGATTTATTTCATTTAAGAGCATGGTCTCAAGATGCATTCATTTAACTAGCAATATCTCAAGCTTATTCTATTTATACAGAATAGTACTTTATTATATATATATTTTTAAAACCCACATTTTCTCTTATTTATGCACTGGTTGATGGGAATTGGGCTGTTTTCAAGATTTAACTATTACAAACTGTGCCACTATGAATATGGTTGTTCATATACTGCTGTGGTATGATGCTTTTAATTCTTTCAGGAAGATACCAGGAAGGGGAATACTTGGGTTGAATGGGACCTGTAGTTGTAGAATCTCCACACTGATTTTCACAGTGGTTGCACCACCAACAGAGGATAAGGGGTTTTTTTTTTTCCTCACATCTCTGCCAGCATTCATTATAGGATGACTTGTTGATAATAGCTATTTTTCCTGAGTGATTTGGAATCTTGGCATTGTTTTAATTTGCATCTCCCAAATGACCAGTGATTTTTTTTCCTACAGAAAATACAGAAGAAGTGGATGGAGTCCAAGATACATATGATTTACCAAAACTGAATTTAAAAGATGTAAAACTTCTAAATAAACCAATATTATTTATAAATTAAATTTAATTTCACCTTTAATTTCACTATATTGATTCTTCTAAATAAACTGATATCCTCTTTGTAAAAACCTACTAGCAGGGGCTGGGGATTTAGCTCAGCAGCATAAGCGCCTGCCTTGCAAGCAGGCAATCATGAGTTTGATCCCCGGTACAGATAAAAAGGAAAAAGACAAAAAAAAACCAAAACAAACAAACAAAAAAAACCAACAACAACAAAAAACCTACTATCAAAGAAAAGCTCAGACCTTGATGGAATTACTGTTGAATCCTACAAGAAATTTAGAGAAGACCTATTGCCAATACTTCTCAAATTCTTTAATGAAATTGAAAGGGAAGCAGTACTTCCACAAACCTAAAACCCACAAATTGGAAAAATATCTTAGCCAATCATCCTTTAGACAAAGGACTTTTATCTAGAATATATAAAGAATTTTTTTTTAAAACCAGGCCTCCAAAATTCAAGGACCCAATCCAAAAATGGGCATCAGGGATGAATACACACTTCTCAGATGAAGAAGTACAAATAGCAAATAAACAGATGAAAAAATCTTCAACATCAATGATCATTTGGGAAATGCAAATTAAAACAACACTCAGATTCCATCTCACCCCAGAAAGAAGGGCCAAGATCAAGAAACCAATAAACAACAAAGGGGCTGTGGGAAAAAGGGAACTCTTCTCCACTGTTGGTGGGAGTGTACACTGATGCAACCACTGTGGAAATCAGAGTGGAGATTCCTCAAAAAACTAGGATTAGCGATACCATTTGACTCAGCTACTCCACTTCTGGGCATTTTCCCAGAAGAACTGAAAACATCATACCACAGTGATACATGTGCACCCATGTTTATAGCAGCACAATTTATAATAGCCAAATCTTGGAAACAACCCAAGTGGGCAACCCAATCAAGGAATGGATAAAAAAGATGTACTTTTATGCAATGGACTACCACTCAGCTATAAAAAAAACATTTTTATAAGTAAATTAACTTGACTTGAGACCATGCTCATAAATGAAATAAATCAACCTCACAGGTATAAATACCATATTGTCTCCTTAGTGTAAAAAACTGAAAAAATATAAATGATCCAAAATCTACAATAAATTCTGTGTAAGGGTAAGGAACTGCTCAATAAGAAAAATAATTGGGATAGGAGAAAGGAAAAAAGAAGGAAAGGAAAAGACATAAATTTGTATATATAAACATAAGAAGGCTAAAATGGCTATACTACTAATTGTATTAGCTATTGGAAAAGAAAAGTTAATATTCATATGATTAGATGAATTTTACATGTCTATATATTATTCTAAGCAACCCTTTTGCAGTAACAACATGCAATATTACAAGCATTGTCAAATTCCTATCATTTTGTTTTGTAAACCTATACTATTGTTGTATTTGATTTGTTGTTGTTGTTTGTCTCTTTTGCTTTTCTTTATCTTTTTTTCTCTTAAATAAAAAAAGAAAAAGAAATACTAGAGTACTCTGGATGGAATGATAGCCTTTGCTCTTGGGTTGGAAGAACCAACATAGTGAAAATGACTATTCTTCCAAAATTGTTATACAGATTTAATGCAATCCTAATCAAAATTCCAAAAGCATATCTCACAGAATTAGAGAAAACAGCAGGCCATGGTGGCACATGCCTGTAATCCCAGCACACAGGAGGCTGAGTTAGGAAGATTGCCACAAACTCAAGGCCAGCCTGGGCTACATAGTGAGTTCAGGGGCAGCCTGAACTAATGAGACCCTGCCTCAAAAACACAAAAAAAGAATTAGGAAAAACAATCCTAAAATTCATTTGGAACCAATGGAATCAATTAGAAGATGTAGAAACAAACCCACAATTAACACAATTTAGATATACATAATGATCAAAATTATCATAGTCTTTGACAAAGGAGCCAAATATCTTCATTTATGCTTGCTTCAGAAGCACAAATACAAACACCTTCACTGGAAGAAAGATATCTTTTGTCTGTGATCTGGCCCTAAAGGAAAGCTCCTTCTCCCACAGCTGTAATGTACACTGGTGCCCTTAAAGGCACAGCCCTGTGTGACAGCCCATAGTTATTTCTATTTAAATCAACTGTCTGTAATACTGTGAGATATTTTTCTTTATTCAGTTGTGTGTTGATGGGCATGTAGGCTGTCTCCAAGAGTTAGCTATTGTTTATTATGCTATAAACTTGGATATGCATGTATTCCTGTGATATTGTGTCCTGAATTTTTAGTAAGACACCCAGAAGAGTGTCTCAACTGAAAAGCTTTGAAAGCCAAACTGATGGTGTACACCTGTAATCCCAGCACTCAGGAGGCTGAGGCAGAAGAATTTCTGGGAGGTCAAGGCCAGCTGGGCTACATAATGAGTTCAAGGCCAGCCTGAACTATATGGTGAGATCCTATCTCAAAATAAAAACAAAAAAGACTGACAGTAAGTTGGATTCAAATCTCATACCTGGCCAAGTGAATTACATTTTTTTTTTTTGAGATAAGCTCTCAATGTTTAGTTCGGGCTAGTCTTAGATTCAGTATGTAGCCCAGGCTGAATTCCAACTCATGGTGATCCCGCTGCCTTGGCCTCCTGAATACTGGCATTTCAGGCAGGTGCCTCTACACCCAGTTTAATGACATTCAGTTTTAAAAGTGTGAAATGATAGTGAGCATTGTCAAGCAGAGATTCCTTACCTAGTTGCCTAAAGGGCAGTGTTTTACTAGCAGCAAGGAGACCAAAGTAGATGTGTCCTAAAGGAAGGGGTTCCTTAAAATACGAAGAAACTGGGCCAGGCATAGTGACTCACACCTATAACCCCAGTACTCTGGAGGCTGAAGCAGGAGTATTAACATGAGTTTGAGGCCAACCTGGGTTACACAGATTTTTCTTAAGTATAAGAAAATATTTAATCAGCTCTTCTCCCTGATAAGTGGTTGTGGTGTGGCAGGCTGTGGCTGCCCCAGGGCAAGAACCACCAGGGTCTCCTGGTCTCCTGAGATCCATGCCATGTTGGAACTTAGGGCACCGGAAAACCAAGCAACCAGCTTGCCTCCCTTCTAAGTGGCAGTGAGCCTATGGGTGCCTGAGCTGAGAATCAACCATCCCACCACCACCACCCCCATTAGCAAATGGGAGCTGTGATAATAACTCAGACCCCGGAATAAAATCCAAGGAAGCAAGAAATTAAAATTTAGGGAGCAAAGGCTTTATTTTAGGCCAGGCCTGGCAACACAATCTCTGGGAGCCAATTTGGAGACTGCACGCCTGACGGCTAAAAGTCAGGGATTTTATTTATTTATTTATTTATTTATTTATTTATTTTTGTCTTTTTCCTTTTTATCTGTACTGGGGATTGAACTCACGACTGCTTGCTTCCAAGGCAGGCGCTTATGCCACTGAGCTAAACCTCCAGCCCCATGGGCTTTTATCTTGTAAAAACCA